TAGGGACAGAATTCTGAAACATGGGTCCTAGCCAACTGAAGGTATTGCCACCAATAGAGGGGTGATTAAAAATCAGGGATGCACAAGAGACCAAAATTAGAGGAACCCAGAGATCTTGGAGGGTGGCAGGATTTGAAAGAATTGGGCCAAGGCCAAATTGGGATTTGAAAACAAGGATTTTATAATCAAGACACTGCTTGAACCAGAGTCAGTGTAAGTCAGCAAGTACAGACTAATAGGTGAATGGCCAGCAGTGTCTGGGATGAAATGAAGTATGCAGACAGCAGAACGTACAAGATCAGCCAGGAAACCATTGGAATAGTTGGGTCTAGTGGTGTGAAGACAGGAATGAGGGTTTCAGCAGCAGATGAGCTGACACACAGTGCTGTCAGATGACGTTATGGGGATAGAAACAGGCGGTTTTAGAGATGGCACAGAAGTTAGATTGTATGTTTATCGCGGAGTCAAATGTGGCAGCAAGGTTGCAAACAGAGTGGTTTCAACTCAGACTGGTGTCATGGAGATGGATGGAGGGGTAGCTCAGCAACAGAGTTTGGTGCAGGGACCAAAAGTGATGGTTTCAGTCTTTTCAATGTTTCATTGGAGGAAATTTCTGCTCATCCACTACTAAATATCAGATTAGCATCTGATAATTTAGCAACAGTCCAGGAGTTGAGGGGTGATGGGGGGTGTCAAGCTGAGGGCCATCAGAAAACTAACAATTTCAGATGATGTCACTGAGGAGCATGGTGTAGATGAGAATTAGGAGGGAGCAAGATTTGACATTCGGGGGATATCAGAGGTAACAGTGCGGGATCAGGAAGAGAAGCCTTAGCTGGTGATTGTCCACCTGTGATTGATGGATAACAATGGAACCAAGTGAGAGTCATCTGGCCCAACTGGAAAGCAGTGTCGAGGGGTTGGAGGACAACTGTATGGTCAACAGCATCAAAAGCTTCAGGCAGGCTGAGGAAAGTTCACCTTTGTCATTGTAACTTTAATCGGAATTGTTTCAGGATTGAAGGGGGGGATGAAAGCTGACTCTAGAGATTCAATTATGGGGTTATGGGAAAGAGAAGAATGGTCTTGGGAGGCAACAAGGCTCTGGTGAGGAAAGGAGGGTTAAAAGATGGGATGGCAATTAACGAGGATTAGTTTTTTTTTTGAGGAGAGGGAGAACTGATGACAGATTTGACAGAAGGGAATGACAGCTGAAGAAAGAAAACCATTAAAATATCAGTTAATATGGGGAGCAGGCAGCAGTGTGCTATGAAGGATTCAGTTAGTTGAAGGGGCGTCTTTCAGTCTCTATTGACCGGAAGCATTAATTCTATCTCTTTCTGCAAAACTGCCAGACCTGATGGCTGATTCCAGTACTTTCTGTTTTTGTTTCAACTTTCAGTCTTTTCGTTTATGCGGAGGTGTTGTCCAATAATTCAGAACTTTAGAGGGGAGGTGGGAATTTCTGCCCTTGATTTCTTGGCCACATTTGACTAAGTGTGGCATCAAGAAGTCCTGGCTAAATTGGAAATCAGGGGGAAAACACTCTGCTGATTGGAGTCATACCTGGCACATAGGAAGATCGTTACAATTATTGGGGTCAGTCATCTCAGCCCTAGACACCTCCATCGAAGCTCCTCAGGGTAGTGCCCTAGGCTCTAGTGCCCTCAGGACCGACTTCTTTCCTTCAGAAGTCAACAAGTGGAGATGTTCACTTATTGA